GACAGACAGAGGGGCTGCCACTTGTTCCAGCTGTCAAGAGTATACCCCGCTGGTGAAGTCCCGTCCGGGCACACGGGCTCTCCAGACCCACGCTTACGTGTTGAAAAGATAGAATCAATTGCGTTGAGGGACCAATTTACCATTTCCATTCTTGCTAAAAGTTGTCTGGCGGAAATTTACTTGCAAATTATGACGATACAATCATGAACTTATTATTAGCTAATGCTTAATACATCATGATTTCATTATATTTGCTAATGCTTAATACATCATGATCTCATTATGATTGTGTCCCCTCAATCATAATGGGGGGGGGGATCCGCAATGGCTGCATAGCCAAGCGACCGTTTTGCCTGCTGAGTGTCAGGCTCGGGGACTGGATGACCTCCATGGACCTCAGGGACGCATATCTCCACATACCCATTGCGAGTATTGCCGTCTCCCGTTCGGCTATTCCCTAGCCCCCCGCACCTTCTCCAAGTGTGTGGAGGCGGCGCTAGAACGCCTTCGGCGTCAGGGCCTCAGGATACTGACGTGTATCGACGACTGGCTGATCCCGTGCCCGGCCCAGAAGATCTCGTATCTGGGACTGGTCTTGAATTCCAGGAGCATGACAAGCGGCAATTCAGAACCTGGGCCGGATCGTTCTGGGCGAACCTCAGGTCCAACCGCGGTAGATCCGGTCACTCTTGGGCATGATGGCAGCGGCCCATCCAGTGGTGAGACTGGGGTTGCTGCACATGCGATATCTCCAAAGGTGGTTTTCCGGGGCTAATCATGGAGGGCGCAACTGTCGGTGAGGGCTCAGAACAACATCGCCTTCTGGCTGTCCCTAGGTCAACTCCAGGAGGGAGTTCGAATGGGTCTGGTGGACCACCACATTGAGGTCTTCACGGACGCCTCACTGAGCGGTTGGGGAGGCGTGCTCGGCCACCAATCTGCAGGAGGCGTTTGGTCTTCCCCCTTGGCCCATTTTGTGACTAGACTGGAGGGCCAACATGTGATTGTTCGGACGGACAACACCACTGTGGCAGCTTACCTGAACAGGCACGAGGGGGACCAGGTCCCCCGCGCTTCACAGGCTGGCAGTGGAGGTTCTTCTGTGGGTTCTCTGAACTTTTCTCAAGTTCAGAGAACGCACAGTGCCCACTCTGGTACTCGCTCAGGTCCAGCGACAAGCCCCCTCTCATGGCGCACCGACCGTCTCCTCAACGGTCTCCTCTACGCCTTCCCGCCTCTTGGTGGCCCTGGTGAGGACAGAGGGGGTCTCCATACTGGTGGTGGCGCCGGACTGCCCGGGAGCCAGGTGGTCTCCGGACCTGGTGGGCATGGCGCTGGGTCCGCCTTGGCCTGTTCCGAACTGTCCTGATGCTCTGAGACAGGCAGGGGGAGCCCTTTACTCACGCCCTGTCCTGGGACGCAGGCTCATGGTTTGGAGGCCGAAAGGGGGAAACTGTTGAGCCTTGATCTCCCTCCCTCGGTGGTTGCTACTATTCAGGGTGGGCGGGCGGGCTACATCCACCACCAAAGCGTATGAAGTTAGCTAGAAACTCTTGGTGCGTGGACAGGGGCCTGGACCCCACCTCGTGTTCCATCCAGAAGGTCTTGGCTTTTCTCCAGTCCTTGCTGGAGAGGGGCAGGGCGGCCGCCACTCTTGGTGTATTGGAGGCGGCCATTACCACGGGGAACATGGGGTTTGGCAGCCATTCTTCGTGTAGCCACTCCTTGGTGAAGCACTTCTTCCAAGGGGCCCGCAGGATCAGGCCTCCCCTCCGGCGGTCGGCTCCGTCTTAGGACCTTCAGGTGGTCTTGTCTGGCCTTTCGGGGCCTCCCTTTGAACCCCTGGACAATGCGACCATTGTCTGTTTGTCTTACCAAACGGCATTGTTGTTGGCGTTGGCTTCGGCCAAGAGGTCTGGGGATCTGTGCGCCCTTTCCGTGCAGCCGTTTTGATTGTCCCTCCCCGATCGGGAGGGCATGATGGAGTATCTTTCAGATCTAGGGGATCAGGGTGAGACCCTTTTTCCCTCCTCTGCATGCTTCGGCGGAGGAAGAGCTGCGGCATAGACTGCCCGGTCAGGGCTGTGAGATGCTATTTGGACCGCATGTCTGACCTCAGACGGTCGGATCAGTTGTTTGTGGGGTTTGGCACCAGGAGTCAGGGTGCCGCTTTGTCTCCACAGCGCTTGGCCCACTGGCCTTGCCTCGCTGTCCGTTTGGCGTATGAAGCTCAGGGCTTGCCGCCTCCGGCCCAGTTGAGGGCTCCCTCCACTCGCGGGGTTGCCGCTTCGGTGGCATTGTTCCGTGGCACTTCGGTGGAGGAGATCTGCAGGGCAACGTCTTTGTCCTCCTCCTAGGCCTTTGTGCAGTTTTACCTACTGGATGTCGTCTCTGACTCTGTTACTCATTCGGTTTTGAGTGCAGGGCAGCCCTAGTTCCTCCTTCGACATGCCTGCCCTCTCTTATTCGGCTGAGTTTGAAAGGAGAAGAGCTGTGGTGCATGGCCCTATTTATAGGGGACTGACCTACGCCAGGACGTCAATGTGATTGGAGCGGGGGATCGTTTGATCTTCTCAGGGCGGGAAGCGGTGCTTCCGAGAGATATGCAGATATGCAAAGGGCTTCGCAACATATTTGCTCCTTTCACATCAATGTCATGTGTTAACACGGTAGTTTGAGATGGCACATCACTAAATAAACAGGAAAAATCACTGATTATCACTTAAATGTCCCAACTGTGGCAGCTCTTTAATCATTTGAGAATTGGACAGTCGCGCAACTTAGCCTAATGAGGAAATGTGTCTGCCAGCCCAGTCAGTCTCCATTATCACAATCGCGGAGGCCAAAGTGGGTGAGGACGCTAACGGTGGTGCAACATCATGCTCATGTTTTTTTAGCCTTACGATGGCGATCAGTATGGACAACATTTTGTCATTTATTTTTTCAACAAACTTTGCAGACAATTTATTTCCCCTAAGAGAGACCAGGACAAGCACCTTCTCTCCCACGGAAAAATCGCGTTTAACAGCATTTTTATCAAACCGGACCTTCATACGCTTTTGGACGCCCGCAAGCGTGGCTTTCGCCAGTTTATTCGCAGCCACCAAGAGCTCATGAAAGTTACTAACAAAATCAAGCACATTATGGGGCGCAAACGAAGGAGCCAAGAACTTTTACTTCAGAGTTTTCAAGGGACCGCGTGGACTTTGACCAAACATCAAGTCTGCCGGACTGAAACCAAGAAACTCCTGTACCGCGTTGCACGCAGAAAATAACACAAAGGGAATCCCCTCATCCCAAGTATTTCCCGTTTCCAAACAGTATTTACGCAGCATAGATTTTAATGTCTGGGACTCTGGATGATACGCACTGGACATTACATGTTTTACATCAAGGCTTTGGACTAATTCGTTGAATAACTTTGATTGAAAATTTGCCCCTTGATCTGAGTGAATGACACGGGGGAGACCAAACAAAGAAAATAAGTTTGCTAAAGGAGCTATAACCGTTTCTGTTAATGCTGGTTCAGCCAGGTTTGTCCTTAAACAGTCGCCCGATGAAAGAAAGGAAACTACAAACTTAGATAGATATAAAAGAAGGTTTAATATATAAAGACAGGCAGCAGCCTGGGTCTAACTGCACGGACGAGAGGCAAAGCAAAAAGACCCCGCCAATAGTCCAGCCTACTAGTCCATACCAGAGGTAACAGGATATGAAGATTTAAAACACATGTGACAATATGACCTATGAACTCTAGGTTTGAAAACAATCTTCTCTTCCAACAGAAGAAGTGTCTTCTTTCATAAGATCTACTCACAGATGTTTCTGGCTTTTTGCTTGTTTATACGTCTAGTCTTTCACTCTTGCCTGGGGGCTGGGAGAGTGCTGCCATCTCGCCACCCTCGATGCATGAGTTGGTTAACTAGACTAGACCCTACTAATCTACACACATTTATTAATATGATAATACACATTACATTTCTTAACAGTTTCTGCAAAGTTTGAATGTTTAGCACCGCCCCCCAACTCGCTCAGAGGCTTCTCATTTCCTTTACGCTCTCATTCCACAGAGCCATCTAGTTTTATTTGCGATCTGATACATATGCTAACATTAGCATTAGCGTACTACTTAAACTGTACAACAATCCCCGATGAAATGGTACAAAAACAACGCACTGCTAACACAATATATAACTGGTAACCAATATAGTCCGAGCATAGATAGTCTGAGGTGGTCCCGCAGTTCTCTCCCATAGACAAGTCTCTCCAGAGGATACGATGTAAGCTAGCTATGTTCACCTGGACTTGATTTCTTCTTTGATAATTTTTACGCTTTATTTCCCTCTTCTCTTCCTCACTGTTGTGTCGTTTGGGCTGTTTTTCTGTGTATGCAGTTACAGCGTTAGAGCCAATTCTGCTAACATGCTACTGTTTTTAGCATCGCTGTAGAGGCTAGAGGAGGCTCACGTTCTGTGAGTGGAGGAGAGCCAGCGGCCCGCTACAAGTCATCTCAGCACTTTGAATGGCCTAAACTCATGCTTATGCTGAATCAATGAGCTCCAGTTTTCAAATAAATTACAGTTTTTAATTCAACTTGTATGTATTTATACCAATTTTTATTAACTCAATAGAAAAAGAATTGGGTATAACTTCTTTAACGCATTGACTATGGAGCGGGACGTACACTTATGCAGCGGAATGGCTTCAGGGAAGCGAGTCGGCGCACACATAATGGTGAGCAAAAACTCATATCCACTCTTTGTCCGGGGCAGAGGGCCCAAACAATCTATTATTACTCGATCAAATGGTTGGTCTATGGCAGGGATTGTTGCAAAATGGGCTGGTTTGGTTTTCCTGCTAACTGACATACGTGACAGGTGCGGCAAAACTCATCTATATCACGTTTCAATCCAGGCCAGAAGAATTCTTTTAAAATATGTGTATAAGTCTTTGTGACTCCTAAATGGCTAGACCATTGGCTTTCATGTGCCACAGCCAAAATGGACCTCCGGTAAGAGCAAGACACAACGATTTGATACACTGCATTTAAATCACAATCAATAGAGGCGAGAGGAGACCATTTGCGCATAAGCAGACCATTGTCAAGGAAATAGTAATTTTGTACATTGTCTTTGTGTTGTTCGCTACTCACCACTCCGGAGAATAACATGTGTAATGTTGGATCGGTCTTTTGCTCAGCAATCAATCGTTCACAGGAACACGGTAATTTCAGACCAGCTGGTTTCTCCGATATGACAGGTGTCACAGCCGTTTTTGAGACAGCCTGGACCTCCTGCTCAGAATCAGTCACATCTGTAACATTACATAGAAAAGTATCAGACAAATCAATCAGGTAGACAAGCCTTGGCGTGCGTCATGACGCACACGGGTAGCTCAGGGGAGCACGTCTTCGTCGGACTGGAATGTGGGGAATTAACAATCTGCAGGGGAGGTAATACCGTTCCCCCTGCTAGATCATTTCCCATCAGCATTTCCACACCTGACACACAGCGATAGGAAAAACACCATTCACAAGTTTAAATTTCACATGCACAAAATGTACTGGTTGGGGGCAGTAACCCATCTCTTTTCCTCTTAATACCGCATTGTATCCACTGTAAGACTCAGAGGAAAATGGAAGATTACTTGCAGAATGAGCTCCCCCAGTATCACGTAAACTACGGATAAGCTTCTGATCATGCAGGACTCCCTTTACAGACACAAGGCCCTCAAAGAAAAATGGCTTGAAACTAGGGCTGTCAAACGATTCATTTTTTTTTGTTGATTAATCGCATAGTAATGGTGAGTTAACTCACGATTAATCACATTTTTAACATTCTATTTCAAATCCACTCCAATTGAAGTTAAATGAGATTTTAAAATGACACATTGTTATTCATACCAAATGTACTTAAATCTGTTTGATTTGCTCACAACCTTATACTTTTGGGTACAACCAACAAGAGCTGTTAATGAAAGGGAAAATGTAGGTAACCCAGCTTTAATTTTGCGAGTTTGGTTGCATTTCAGCTTGTCTCCTCCTCTCCTCCGTGTGTCACACAACATCAGAGAATGTCCCTGTGCGTATATATATGTGTGTATTATATGACCACGTTACTGCTGTCACCATCACACACACGCACATGTCCGCGGCATTCTGAGTGATATTATAATAAATGGGCGGGTCATTCGGACATGCGTTAACTCATTGACTGCCAGCCTATTTCAGAACAGGTACTCCATATTGCCAGCCGTTTCTGATGATTTTTACTGAATTTTCAAGACCCACAGAATATTGTGTACTATGACTATCTGAAATCCAAAACCAGATTCTGAAAGAATGGACTGTCTACTTTCATCATCAAAAATAATTTAGTTTCTAGCTTGTTTCGTTCCCCTGTAATCTCAGAAAGCTGAGAAAAAAGAGGCACAAGTGCATCTAGCTGCTTTCAAACCATTCATAGAGCAATGCTGCCATCTGCTGGCTCGATAAAATATTGCCTCAAGCCTTACATATTTGATACAATAGACATCTGGGAACGTAAAAATAGCGGGAAACGCAATTGACGTGTTAACACGTCAATGGCAGTTATTGCGTTAATTATTTTTTAACGAGTTAATGAAAACGGTAATTAACGTGAATTACCGCGATAATTTTGACAGCCCTACTTGAAACACAGATCTGCTTTGTCGGCTACGACAGGTGCAGTCTCCAGTTTAATTAATCCGACACCATTGGCTGTATTGGCAGAATATTTTGTTTTACGCTTGATAGTGATAGTCTGGAACTCTAAGTGAATAACACATTTTAAGAATTGTATTAAATTGACCTCCTGGCCTTAAATATTGATATGAAACATAGGCATAAACCAATCAGAAAGGAAGGGGGAGGGAGCTTGGGTCGTTTTTTATCAAATCCTGTACCTCTCTCTTTTTTCTGGCAAACTCCAGACAATCACTTTAAGAGCCAAAAAGTTAGATATGACATGTCCAGGTTTGTGACAGTAAAAACACTCTCGTTGCTCTTTGGTACTGGGTGGCGTGTTGGCGGATCTATGCATTGGCTCTGAGACAAAGGACCGATTTTTCTCCATGCTAAATGTGGTCCTATGAGTCAGTGCGATTTTCATCAGGCCATCAGCCTGCTGCAACGTGGTAACTTTCTGTTCACATAAGTACATTACAACTCTCTCCGATAAATTATTTTTGAATTCCTCTAACAAAATTAATTCACGCAACTCATGGATTGAATGAATTTTTTATGAAGTGCACCATTTCTCAAATTTTATTATTCTGAACAAAAACCTAATACATGATGTCAGCTGCAAATATGTTCAGTTTTAATTTGCTGATAAACATTTTAACAAATACAAGGCCAAATCTACAGCGCAATCTATATTCTAGAGCAGACATGGGCAAACCTCCTCCTGAGGCCGCTGGGATCTCAGTGTGTCTCAGAGGCTACTCCATTGTTTTTCTCAGGCTTAATTAAAAAAAAAAAATAATGTTTTATTTAACACCATGTGATACAGATTCCATAAAAATCATAAATTACTATGTACAACATAGTAGTGCAGAATATATTGGTGGGGGAGGGAAGGGGGAGTGGGGGGGGGGGAGGGCTTTTTAAGGCATCCAGAGCATGAAACAAAAAAAACAAAAAAACTTAATAAAAATAACAAGCAGGTACAGTCGTGGAAATACGTAGGTGCTAATGTGTAAGTGTGGGTGTTAATGTAGGTGTTAATGTATTTGAGTGTTTGTGTATATGTATGAATGTAGGATTATATATGTCATAAGAAAAAATAGAAAACAGAACAATAACAGTAAATAAAACGAAAATAATGAGTGCTGCCACCTGCTGTCTCCACAGATCCCAGTGACGTATGTGTTTATGTGACCACATATTTATTTGCTTATTTTGTATTATTATTGTTATTATTTTTTCATTTATTTCTTTATTTATTTTTTAGTGCGTGTCTAGTGCATTAAAAACATGCAAGGTTTTTTTTTTTTTTTTTGTCCTGTCACTGTTGGGGTCTCCTCCAGCAGTAGCAGGGCCGCTTCCTTGTTTAGTCTTGTTCCTTGTGTATGTTGTGTGTGTTGAGCGCGGCTTATGTTATGCATTAAAAATCCAGGGTTCTGTGGGAGGTCTGCGGGAGGTCTATCAACTATCAATTTCAGTCTCACGAAAGTTTGGAAAAAGCAAAACATATTTACTCACATCAACGGGTTGGACCGGGCTGTGGGCTGGCTCAACATCAGCAACGACCTGGCTAGGGTTAAGAGGAAGACGGCCTTCTGCCTCCAGCTCGAGCCACCTCATTTAAAGAGCAGTCTCGGCCTCGATCTCAAGTTTCTTGAGTCAGTATTGAAATTCCATAGTCGCCTGCCGCTCCCTCTCCTGTTCCTCCGCTTCCCCACCCAGGCGCTCCACATGTACTCTGTGCCGCATAGAGACCAGGGGGGAAACGGGATGGACTACCTGGTGAGTGGTCCCAAGAGAAGCGGGTCGGGTGATCAGGCCGGCCTCTCCTCTCAGACGCACCGGGCGTAGGAGATGACGATGTCAGCTTCAGGGACCAATTCCAGAGAGGATGCCTCAGGACGCTTCAAAGGACCAGCAACGACCTCCAACTCAAGCCCAGAGTCTTGCATGCCGCCATGCTCCACCAGCCAGGATGCAACAATACGTTTCAACTCTGTTTTCTTTAAGTTTTTGTTCACTTCAATTTGGCACAGTTCTGCAAGAGCAATTAACTCAGTTTTCTTACATTTATTGAATTCTTCCTCTATAGGATGCGATAAGAATTCTTCCAAGTCAGCCATATTAAGGTTTGCCAATGGAGAACTTGAGAAACTGTTGCACACAAAAATTCACTCATTAATTCTATCAAAATTTAGTTCTAACTTTTTTTTTGTAATTGACATGGGAAAAAATATTACCTTTATCCCGGACAAGCTCCCAATTTTGTTACATCCGGCTCAGCTAGAGTAATGAACGCAACACAAAACCCGATGGAAATGGTATTAATCCATTTTAAGTACGTTTTAATAATGAGAGTGAAATAAAATTAATTTGTGAAACGAAAGAGGAATACAGAAATAATAATGAAATGATGTCACTATACAAAAGTAGAGCTATAAAATAACGAAGTGACAAAGGCAACATAAACACAACAACACAGGAGAAATGATAACGGCAGACTGGCACGGAACAGGTCCTGGCGGAGAATGGGAGGTTTTATGGGGACGCCCTCGTTGATGGATCCCTGGGGTTGGAGGACGTCCTCACACTTGTCCCGCTGCAGCCACTCAGGTGTCAGACCGGCCACGCCCACTCTCAAAGTTCCTCCAATAGATCACCTGCAAATCCTGTACAAAGCAAGGCGGCACACACAAACACAAAGGGCAACGGGAGCGCCATCTAGTGCACAACTGGCACAATAGGTTGTTGCCTGTAACAGGCACAATTACTTTTGTTTAACAAAGTATAGCTTTCGTGAGCTATTGACTGCGGAAGTCCGAATCTGAGGCTAACTTTACCAAACTTCTGCCGTGATGAAGCTGCGGGCCACGCTGGCGCTTGTCATTGAGCCCATGGATGTGATCTAGGCTAATGCTGCTAGGCTAATGCAGCTGGGCTAATGCTGCGGAGCTATTGCTGCTCCATGGCTACAAGGCTAATGCCGGTTGTTCTGGTGCTTTCTCCTGGCGTCAAAGCCTGCGCTAGCTTTATGCAATCGGCGCCGGGTTAGCCTCCATTGGGCCCTGTGCAATTTGATGACATAATGACCTATCGCAATATGCCGGTATAACAAAAATCTGAATTGCATACCGCTTATACTGTTTATATCGGCCAGCCCTACGATGTGACAGTGATCTCCAAGCACTGTTCTCCTGCTCTGGAAAATCTTTTCATTCATTCTTGCCTCTGTTTACATCCCGACGGTTGCACGCGAGGCTCAGCGTGCACTTGCAGAGCAAGTACTGTGTATGGAGCATTTATACCTGGACTCTCTGACTATTATCCTGGGGGATTTTAATAAGGGAAACTTGAGCCAGGAATTACCCAAATACAGACAGTTTAACAAATGTCCGACCAGAGACGAGAACACATTAGACCCACTGTTACACCCTTGGTGCTGCCCTGTGCAGCTCTAGGCTTCTCAGATCACTCCATGACAAGAGACTGAAGCTCTCAAAACCTGTAGTGAGGAATTTCAAAGTGTGGTCTGATGAGGTTGTGGAGGAGCTGCGCTCATGCATGGATTCTTCGGACTGGGACATTTTCAGAGCTGCCACAGACAGTTTGGATGACTACGCGGACACAGTGACGTCATACAACCACTTCTGCGAGGATAGCTTTATTCAAACAAGGACCAGGGTCATCTATAACAATGACAAGCCATGGTTCACTGCTAAACTCAGGCAGCTCAGACGAGCAAAGGAGTCCGCGTTCAGAAAGGGGGACCGCAGCAGTTACAAAGCAGCTAAATATCAATTCAGGAACGAACTGAAAGCAGCCAAGTCCCGGTGTTCTGTCGAGTTGGTCTGCCCGTCGACAGCCTGCCTCAGCTGTTAATTATGTAATGCAAACCTGCGCTGTGCGTCTCACGGCAGCCAAAGCAAACCAAGATGGTGGACATGTAGTCAGTGAATTGCTTTAAAAGTTAAAATACTTTTAAGACTAAGAGTTTCGTGTAAAGTTTGTTCTAAGCAGTCCACTGCTCCTGTGAAACTACACTGCTAGTGTACCCAAATCTGATGTGCGCATGCGCAGAAACCCGCCAGAATGGGGAAAAAACTCAATCTAATAATATATTTCGTTTGAACGCACTATTGTTAATCATATTGAATACAGTATGATACATGCATTAAATTTACTTTATTATTTCCATTATCAAACCAGACAGACCAGTCACAGGACGCATCATGGGCCTACGTCAGTAAAATGACGTATGCAGCAGTCAACTCAGGGACTGTAGCAGTGTAGTTTCACATGAGCAGTGGACTGCTTAAAACAAAGTTTACACAAAACTCTTCCTCTTAAAACACACATATCACTATGCGGAACTGTGAATAAAACGACTCACATTTCAACAACATAATCTCTTTAATACATTTTTCAGCAGCTGGTTCAAAACTACAGGTTATCTGGACATCAGCACACACAGACATGTTACAGACTGCACCAGTCTGGGTCAGCTAGATGTAGCAGCAGAGTGACCAAGGAATGGGCAAAAGCGCTCTGGTCTTATACCATGATAATTTGAAACACATGCAACAATATGTCCCACCTTCCTCTCCCTCAGAGAAGACGTGGCTTCCCTCTAAATAAACATGAGATCTACTGCAAACAGATGTTTTCGGCTTCCTGCTTATTGGTGTTTCACTCATGACTGGGGGGATGGAAGAATGCTGCTGATGCGTCCCATCACATCCCATCACACACGTAGGTTAACCCAAAGCTGTCTAAACTTTTGAATAAATTCATTCACTTTAATGAAAATCCAACAACTCTACTATCATTCCCTCCTGTTTATCATATTCAATGTGTAGTAAACCAACTTAAAGATGGAACACAATGAAATTAATACAAACACAGTATTACATTGAAGTTGTGTCGACTCAATTTAGAGACCCCTCTTGACATGTGTCTTATAAAAATCACATTGGTTACAAAAAAAACACACAGAAAAGAACTCAAAAACATTTCATATGTATATAATTACTCCTCCATAAACCTTACTCTCCCCCCTGTTTGAGACATTATTAATGGCTCAATAAATGAACATAATTCCTAATAATTCATGTAATTTAATGTAGCATCAAAATTTATAAACTAAACCTTCATTTGAGATGTATTAACCCTTTAGGCGCCAGAGTTTTTTCAAGAAAATATACAATTTTGATTTCAAGATTTCAAAAGGCTATAACTTCAAAATGGTTTGAGATAAAGGCATACTGTAAATTAGAAATATCTTCAGTCTGAACCAAACTTTGGGATGGAAGTTGATTCGTCATCGAATTTGCATATTCTGACGTCATCAACGTGGCGGCCATTATGGAAAATGTTAATTATTGTATAAAGACTTCAAAAAGCTGTAGCTTGGGAGTTATTTGAGATCAGGGAATACTATAAACAGTAAATGTGAAATATAGCTTTGGTATGAAATGAATTTGGGATAGAAATAAATTCCCTGATCCAGATTATAGATAATGTTTTAGCACTGGTTCACAGCCATATGGAATTGTATTATTTTCAAAGACCTTCAGTGATCAAGACAGCTCTCTTTATAGTTTACAGTCATGAAATCTGGAGATTGGTTTCAATATTTCCCTTTGAAAGAAGTAGTGGGCATACTATTTTTCTCGGTGGAAATGAGGCTCCAGGATTTATCGTGTAGAAACAGAGAGATGAAATGAATGGGCACAGAACATGTCAGATCTTCTCAACAAGAAACAACAGGCTCTTCAACACTTCTGGTCCACTTTTGTGGATTATTTTCTCTCAAGAACTGCCTTGATCCTCATCATCGCTGTTGGTAAAGGCAGTGAACGCGATTAGCAATGTGCTTTTTCCCGCGACTTCTCCCGCGGCTTCTCCCGCGTCTCTCGCGATCCCCGCGGATGTCTACCCCGGCTACTTTCTCTCGCATGCCCGGTGTTATGATGCCCCTGTCCCCTCCACCACGGCCCCTGCTTGGTGTTCACAGAATGCTTCTACCGCGGCCACACGGAGGACAAGCAGCCGCTGTACAGGGGCTGATTGTGGACTATGGAGCGCGGTCTCCCCGTCACTAATAATGTCCGTGTCTGCTTCACTGGACACCTGAGTGTCTTCCTCCTCTGAATCTGAGTGAGCCAGTAACAGACCAAGTACTTCTCTGGTACTGAAGACCTCGTGAGTAAAATAAAAAACACTCTCTCCCTCTGCTCTGCTCTCGCTCCTCTCAGCTCTACCGCTGCTGCTTCGCCTCCGCGCTGCAGCGCCGCAGGTGTTTTACGAACTCAATTTACTCAAAAACTTTCAATATAACCACACCCACAAATGCTGCTCATATTACAGGCACACATGTCCACTAACCCCTGGTGAAAAGTATTAACAAGATTCTGCACCACATTTTTAGATACAGCCTGTTTAAGTGAGCAATGTTGCTTGTCGCAATATTGCGACTTTGGCGCTTAAAGGGTTAAACTGAAATGTATTCACCTGAAATGTATCAACTTTGGTTATCAAATTCAACACCACACACGCTCCCAAAGCCCAAAGACCCAAAAGTCCATTTTCACAGTCCACAGCTCAACGTCCATACCCGACACTCCTCTTTCGGCCCCTCCTCCTCAATGGTAATGACCAGAAATGTCCACTCTGTTCCGGTTTCGAAACTCTTCTCTGTCTGCGTGTCAGACGCCAGACCAGCAAAAGCAGCAACATCACCAGACACACAAGCTGGACTTCCAGTCGCAAATGTACCAAGATGTCACCTTCAATTTATCACGCCCATTTCAACTCGAAACAATCAGGCAGCACCTTCTCTTGGTCTGCGCTTT